ACAGGGAAACAAAACTCCTTCCTATTTCTCTTTTTGGAACTTTTACTGTGTTAGGCTTGCCCCTGACATTTTTCTTCTACTCACAGAATGTGTAATAGATTGTTCTCACTGGTGGAGTATACAGCTTCTCACTGTGAAGGGAAGTGCATATAGGTATCAGCAGAGCCTGTTTGAACCTTTATCAGCAAAATAGAATAGATTTTCTATATGGCATTTTGTTGCAGTTGTGTTCTTCCCAACTGAGTCTTCAAAAGCATCTTCAAATACAGTTGCAAGTTCTATGGCTGATGTGCAGTTTGATAGACTGAAATGTGAAGATTCTTTTCCTTAGAGCAAATCTGAATTTTTTTCTATTAATCATTCTGTACTGATTAACCCACTGTTAACTACTGTACTTAATCAGTAGTGGCTGGTTTGATGTCTTTCATGAAGTTTGGGTTTTTTTCCTGACTAATTTCTCAAGTATTTGCTGGCATCTGACTTGGTTTAAATTTGCTAGAGCTATGGTGAACCATAAGGTAGTCATAGAGCAGTGGAAAAAGAATATTCAGTACTCCACAGTCAGCATCTACATGACTTCGTCAATTCACATCTGTAGTTTTTCTGCAGGCTTTTTTAAACATCCAGTCTTCCAAGTATAGTATATAGACTGGTAAAATAAGATTAAGTTTTGCCTGAGTAATCTTCTGAGACTTTTGGAAAGAACACAGTTTACTCTTCATCTTTGGCTTCTAATAATACAAAAAATTAGTGGTAGTTCTGTCAGATCTCTGACAGTGTCTTATCTTGAATAAAAAGATTTGTTTCTTTTCCTAGCTGTTTGTTTTTTGGAGTTACTGTGAACTAATTTAAACGAGATTGTAAAAAACCAAAATTGTAACAGACTTGTGAGGCAAAGCTTTAAAGAATCAAACTCTAGAAGAAGAGGAACTTCAGACTCAAGAATAGGGCATTGCTGCCGATGCGCTCTTCTCCCCTCTGCCTTTCCCCTGCCCCGGCTAGCTCTGGGGAGAAGGGGCGCTGGCAGATTTCCAGCGCTTCCTGCTGGACCCTCACCGGGCTTTGGGCAGAGCTGTCGGAGTTCGGAGAGCAGTCAGTGACCCCACGGCGATTTAATGAAGAGTGTCTTTCTTAGGGGGGGCGAATTCCGTTTATTGCAATCCAACGGGAATACCATAATTCAAAGGGGACCAGGCATGCCATGCCTGCGTTTGCCGGAGCGGCGCGGGCAGGGCGGAGCGCGCTGGAGCCAGCCAGAGAAAGCGCGAATGAACTAAATACGGAACGGGGGAAAACCGGGCGGCCAATGGGGTAAAGCCATGGGGGGTTCGAGGGTGGTGGGATACGGGGGTACATCCAGTGAAGGACAGACAGGGGAAGGGTCCCAGTTCCTCTGCCTATCACCCGGCGTCCCGGGTGGAAGATTCTAGGTGGAGGGGAAGGGACACCGAGTGACAGACAGGCATCTGGGGTAAACAGGGTGAATGACTTAGCATTTTTGGGGACAACGGACACGCGGGAAAAGACGGGAAAACCCGGGGAGAACCGTTACAGAACCGGGGGTACATGGAACAAACATATACATAGTACAAATGTAATAAAACATAAAAAACACAACTCCACACATTGCTGTGTTTAACTTTAGAAAGAAGTGCCAGTTTTGATAAAGTCACCTCTTTTCATGCCTCTATATAAGAATATGAACTGTAAGATGATACTTATGTATCAAAGTTTGATTTTTAGCTTCTAATTCAGTTTTATATATATACAATCTTGAATCTATTTCAATGCTTTACATTGGATACCTGTCAGGTACATCTGGTTCTTCTTTGGTTATGAAGATCATAATTCTTTTCCAGTAAGCTAGACACACTGTCCTGTTTGTGAAAAGGAGCTGTTTCTCTTATTCTAGAGTTCATCAGAGATGTCTGTAGCTGAAATGCTAATTTTTGCCAGCGCTTTTTTTTTTAATAGGCATGCTATTTTTACAAGTTAATTCTTTGGTGGCTTGTGGCAATGCAAGCAAAGGCAACATCTACAAATGTTACTGTTTAAATGGAATTGCTTCTACTTCAGACATCAAAAGAGTGATATATTGGCACTTCTTACAGATGTCTGCCTGCTCGTGCCTTCTTCACTTACTGTCCCACCATTTTCTTAGGACTCATGCTTCTATATTTCTGGGAGTTGGTGTTTCCTTTGGACCACATGGCTTGTCCTTGCATTTAGTGTCTGTCATGTTAGCTCAAGAAGACAGAATTTTCTTTTGAAGATCTATGCAAAGAACTGATTCTTGTATATTCTGTTTGGGACAATCTTGTTGCTTCAGTTTTTAATTCTTGCAGATGACATCATTCAAGCTATTATTTGTTATTTCAGGTTTATTTTTCATCTTGAGGCTGAAAAAGCCCAACAGTTTTAGAGGCTTCCATTTGAGAGGCTAAATTAAACATTCTAATGGTGTTTTTGTCTCTGTTTTCAGCTGGAGTGAGGCTGTGATGAAGGCATAGTTAGGTGCTCAGGAAATAAAATAAGACTTAGAAGTCAAATTCTGTACAGAGCTTGTGAATTAGTATGTTGTGACTGAAAACTTTACTCTCAGAATCAATTTTTTTTATTTCACTGTTTGCTGTGAGAATAGACACTTAAGCCAGCCAAAGACAGAAAAGTGTTTTCGTTCTTTAGGGTATGCAGTGAAATATTCTCAGTGAAGTTTCTATTTCTTAATTTAAATTTTTTTTAATAACATTTTTCAGTCTGAATGTTGTAATGTATACCTTCCTTATTTTTTCCTTTGTCTTCTGTCAAAGTTAAAATACAATTATTTGTGGACTTTTAAAATATTTTAAAAAGGAAGTGAAATCCACATAGCTTGTATTTATTAATGATTTTTAATAGGCTGGCAGTATTTTTGAGTAAATCTATCCTATTAACAGATGTCCATCTGTGGGAGGGCGCTAAGGAGTCATTCGAAACTGAAGCAGGACATAGTTTGCTAATTCTCTATTAAGGGCAAAAGAGCTGATGTTTGGAAGGAATAATACCAGAGAATATAAAGAATCAAGCTATTTGTCAGAGACATGGAATGAGGAAGGTGGGAAGGACCATGGAGGGTCATCTGGTCCAACCTCCCTGCTCAAACAGGGTCATCCTAGAGCACATGGCACAGGTTTGTGTCTAGATAGTTCTTGCATGTCTTCAATGAGGGAGACTCCACAATCTCTCTGTTCAATATGTACCTGTGCTTTTTTTATCTGATGCTGGTGACTTTCTGTTTGTCAGACAGGGAAAATAAGTTCTTCCTCATGTTCAGATGGAGCTCTCTGTGTGTCAGTTTGTTGCTGTTGCTTTTTGTTCTATAGCTTGGCACCACCAAGCAGAGACTGGATCCATCCACTGACACCCTCCCTTCAGATACTCACAGACATGGATGAGGTCCCCTCTCAGTATCTCTGCTCAAGGCTGAGCAGGCCCAGCTCCCTCAGCCTTTCCTGCCAAGAGAGATGCTCCTGTCCCCCCATCATCTTTGTCACCCTCCTCTAGACCTGCTCCAGCAGCTCTGTGTCTCCCTTGTCCTCAGGAGCCCAGAACTGGACACAGCACTCCAGATGTGCCTCACCAGGGCTGGGCAGAGGGCCAGGATCACCTCCCCCAACCTGCTGGCACTGCTCTTCCCAGTGCACCCCAGGACACCATTGGCCTTCCTGGCCACCAGGACACACTGCTGGCTCATGGACAGCTTGCTGCCCACCAGGAAGCCCAGGTCCTTCTCCTCAGAGCTGCTTTCCAGCAGATCAGCCCCAGCCTGTGCTGGTGCCTGGGGTTCTTCCTCCCCAGGCGCAGGACCCTGCATTTGCCTTTGTTGAATCTCAGGCAGTTCTTCCCTGCCCATCTCTGCAGCTGTCGAGGCCCTTCTGAAGGGCTGCCCGGCCCTCTGGGCTATCGGCCGCTGCTCCCAGCTCTGTGTCAGCAGGGAACTTGCTGAGGAGGCACCTGCCCTCCATCCAAGTCACTGAGGGAGAAGTGAAACAATAGCAGGCCCACTCTTGAACCTGGGGGGTCACGGCTTGTGACAGGCCTCCAACCAGACCCTGTGCCACTCATAACAATCCCCTGGGATCTGCCGTTCAGACAGTTCTCAGTTCACCTCTCTGTCCCCTCATCCAGGCCACACTTCCTGAGTTTGTCCACAGGATGTTGTTGAAGACAGTGTTGAAAGCCTTGCTGAAGGTAAACAATACCCATTGCTCTTCTCTCATCCATCCAGGTAGCTGTCATGGCACAAAAGGCAATCAGATTGTCTAAGCATGATTTCCCTTTGCTTAATCCATGCCAACCTCTCTGATCACTTTCTTGTTCTCCATGTTGATAGGGATGGAATCCAGAAGTAGGCACTCCATCACTTTTCCAGGGATTGAGACGAGGCCTGATTGGCCAGTAGTTCCCTGAGTCCTTCTTACTCTTTTTGAAGACATTCTAATTATGAGAATTATCCTAGCAGTATGAAAATATAGTAGCAGTGTTTTTGATTTTTTAAAATTAAGTATGTTAAGCAGATAAAGTTTTGAAGAATCTTCTGTGTGCATCATGTCTCATTTATGAAATTGTACATGTTCTATTGATACTTCAATATATTTAAGAACATACAACTTATAGTTATGTTTCCTCAAGTGAGCAAATAATGGAGCAATAGGAAGAATATTTATCTTAACTTAACTTGGTTTATTTGCTTTTTGGCCCTAGGTGATTATAAAAAATGCAGCAATAACATAATACTACATAAATGTACTTAATTAAATAGAAAATATTAATTTAAGAATCCATGTATATAAGAAACGTTGTTATATGTGTTTCTTGATATGAGTTGTCACAGTTCCAAAGTAGTTCAGATATATCAGGTAGGTGGTGGAGTCACAATATGCTTAATGAGTTGAATAAACCTGGTATTATCTTGTATTATCTTCTCTCTGAACTTAAATATCCTCAAAATGTACTTTTAGTCAGCTGCAGTGAGAAAAAAGAAGCTGGAAGAAAACATTGAAGCAGAGAGAGCAGCGCATTTAGCATCCAATTTCGCTTCAGAGATCATCCAGGTAAACTTTTTGTTAAATATGTCATAGAAGTTTGCAGTAAAATGGTTGAGGAAGTTGTGAAGATATAATGCTCCAAAAATATGCAGAAGACTTGCTCCAGTGAAAAACCTAAATATATTTATTACAGTAAATGTCAAAAAAATAAACAAATAAAAATTAATTAAATAAATAAACATATAAGGACAGAATAGAATAGTATCTGCTTTTTAGAGAACTATAAAGTTATTAGAAAAATTAATAAGATGTCATATTTGTAAGTTTGAGAATTCCCATTACTATTTAAACAGTTAGGGAAAAGGAAATATTTCACAATAGTTAAGCACTATACTACTGTTTAAATATCCTGCCCTGTATCTTCTGAATGGCTACTTAGAGCAATTTGGCAACACAGTGCATACATGCAACTTGTCTACTCCAAAAATTATGGTACTTGCAGTTACCAGTAAAGGTTGATTATATGAATAAATCTAGTATATATACTTGAACAATAATTTTTTGCAGCTGTATCACACAGAGTTTATTTATCAGTAAAATAATTATGGTGTATTAAAAAAAGTTTGAAAAAACTAAATGATGATTTCTTAGTAATATCATATTAGTTAACAAACTTGCTGGACTTCTGAAATACTAAACAAAAAAGAAGGAAATTTGGTATCTTTTTTCCCTATTTTCCGAGTAACAAAAATAAGTACTGACATTCTTCAGTCAGTTATTTTCTTATTTTCATGATTTTCTGTATGTACAGGCACTTAAATTTTGAAAGTGATAATTTAACTAGGAAAGATTTAGTTTGCTTAATCTCCTCTCTAGTCTGCAACATACAAAAGAACTGAGAGGATAACACTCCTTAAACTTAGAGGCTTGGGTTTTATGGATGAATAACTGATAAAGTTTTTTTCCTTGTTTATATACATGAACAAACTAGAAGTGTGCTTTGTTCTGGGAGAAAGTGTAGCCTTTATTGTTAGTTCCACACTTCATGAGTCTATTTAAAAACTAGAATTTCCCTGGAAAGCTTCAGTATTAATAAGAACCGAAAATGTTCAGACGCCTCCAAATGAGAACAGAGGGTACTTTTCATTGTCATATCTATTTGTCTCTGGTTTGAACTCTATGTATTCTTATATTTTTACACATGTTCAATGTTTTTTACATGTGTATATGCTTTTATACTGAATTAATAGAATATACTCTACTGTAAAGCAGAACAGACCATAGAAGATGAAGTGTTTCCTAACTTGCTTTAATTGCTTTTTTATCACTTGATGTAGTTAAGAATTCAAGAACTTGAAGAAGCTGTGCGTGTGGAAAAGGACAGACGAGAAGAAGCTCTTTCAGATTTAGACATGATCAAGAAAGAGTTCAAAGGGTTGGAATATGCGTATGAGAGAGAAAAACACAATGCCCAAGAGAACTTGGAGAAACTCAGTGTGTAAGTTTCCCTTTAAATTTATTGTAAAATGGAAGTAGACAGCTGGATTACCACTTAGAGCTTACATTTATATAGTTTTCAGTCAGTATAAAAACTAAATCTAATGCAATTTCCCAAACCAACCTGAAGTTCAGAACCTGGTGTTCCATTAATAATGGGTTGGTATCAATAATGATATGGGTGGGTAAAGAAAATAACTGATCTGTTACCGATTATTTGCCAAAGCAAATATCTTGGAAATTATACTTATGGCAGGGTCCTGTCTCCTGTATATTTGGGAGGAGGGTAGGAAACTGCACATGGCAGGGTTAGAACAGATTTTTTTTCTTCTGTATATACTTACATTATTATGAAAATATTATTTTTCACTTCAGTGACATAAATCAATCTTTAAGACTCTGTTGAGAAGTTGTGTATCATTTATAGTGGTGAATCTTCATTTTCAGCTTTTGAATGATTGTGGAAAGTGTTGACTAGCTAACAAAAATAGAAGAAGGGATTAAATGTATGAGAGCAGATGAAATTACCTGGGATTCCTTTCCTGCTCAGCACAGTCTACTGTGTCCATGGTAACAGATGCTTTTTGGAAGAGTGGTTTTGTTATATATCCTGGGCAGATATAGGATACACTGTACTGAGTCTTCTTCCTTAGCTGAATGAAGTTTTTATTAGGGTGAGAAAATATCAGGAAGAAGAATGGTGCTGGAAGAGAACTGAGGAGTACATGAAATAAAGGATAGTAGTTCATGAAATCTAGGGAAAGAGTGGGTTTAGAAGACACGAAGTGGGTGGCACACAATGGGGTTGTGGGGGGAGAGAGGTAGAATGGGTTGAAAGAGACAGTTTGCATCCCTTAGTCTAGGAATATAGGGGTCTGTACATAAAAGTATTTGTGGTAATTTGCTCATACAAGCAGTAGAGAGGAAAAAAGAAATTGGTTTCCCTACAAAAAAGGAATTTTGTGGCCCAAGTGTTCCTATATGCACGCTTACAAATATGTTTTCAGTAATATAGTTGAAACTTGTGCTGTATTATAAGCATCTTAGAGCTCTTTATTAAAAAAAAGGTCAAAAGAGGCCTGATGTGCATTTAAGGAAACCAAAGTCACATTAAAAAGTGAAAACTTTTTTCCCAAAGAAAAAGATATAACTTTTATGATAAAATATGCAAAAAACATTATGATGGTAATCTAAATTTCTTCAGGAAGACTGCAGTCTTCACAGCTGTGAAACTAAGTATATTTCAAAATGCTTTACAGTTCTAAAATAACATCAGTTAATTAAACTGTAATCTCATCCTGCCTGGTTGTTTTTGCTGTGAGCATGGGTTTTCTGTCAGTAAATACATGACACTAAACTGATACTAAGTTCTTTGCCTTTCCTTGAAATGGAGAAGGCCTGGACCATTGATTTGACAATTTATTCAATTTTTCTTGTTTTGATATAAAAAGCTCCTCTGTTTGTAAACTGGCCTTTTTTTGAGGAATGGTTGTTTGATCAGTAGTTTTGCATAACACAGGCTATTTTGTACTGTCTGAGCTTTTCTTGTATGTAACTTTTTATTCTTACATAGCATATGGACTTTGATTCTTTTTTGTCAGCCTTGGTTTGGTTTTCTTAGTTTTTAATTTGGTGTAGTGGGTTTTTTATTTTTGTTATGGTAGGTTCCTGTATTTGAGTGATCCAGAAGACAGAAAAATTAATGTTATGGAAGTTTTCTTGAAGTAGTGTTCAAACACTTCCAGTGTTTTTTCTTGAATCATTTCTTCACTTGTTCCAAGACCTAATATTCCAAGGTTTGTCTTTGTATTGACATTAGACCAGAAAAATTAATCATCCTCAGTGAAATGTGGATTTTTTTAGTTTGTTTTTTTCAATAATGCTTCTTAAACTGTGGTAGTTTTCAGTCTAGAAAAACGTATCCTGTCTTGTCAACAAGGCTGCCATAACATGGCTTCCTGTAATCAGTCAGGGAGCTGTTAGTATGGATATGTTCTGGGAACCAATAGATGTTAATAAAATATTAGCTAATTAGCAGCATTTTTAATGTAACTTAAACATCTGTTTAGGTACTTTACAAATCATTAGAATTTTTTAAGCTTTACCACAAGATTTTGAAATTTTTTGATTAGTAAATTTAGTTAAAAACATTAACTCCTATAAGTAGTAGCTTTCCAGTTAAGTCTCTGAGAATCTCTTAAAGATATTTTTCCGAATTAGTTCATTTGGACCAACATAATGATAATGGTTAGGTGTTAAATTGTATCGTGCATTCAATAATGTTTTGTTCCTTGTGAGAATCTTTTATCTAGATATATGAAGATATTTATTTGAGTATTGAAGGGGTTTGTGTCTAGGATATTTTTGATGCCCAAAAGTTACATCTTTGAAAAATGGTATCATCAAAAAAGAAAACTTAGAGTTTTTTTACAGAGTATATTTTTTTTGTTTGGAATTACTGCATTAAGGACTATGAAATACAGTTTACAGGTATGGTACCATTTGCCTTAAGAATTTCAATAGTAGCACTTACAGACAAGTAAATACTTGAGTTACTAAAATGCAAGATGAACGTTAAAAAGCCGCCCCTTTTTTCTCTTAACTGGACAATTATGTTCAGTGTTCCTTTTTCAGGAAGGAAATTTGCCCTATCCTAGAGGTTTTTTTGGGATAAAACAGAATTTATGCCTGAGGCATCTGTTCTGTATCTTAATTGAATATGAGAATAAATGTTGTCTAATATCCAAACAGTACTTTCACTGCTTGCAATCATGTGTTGATTCATGGAATTACTTCTGGCAGCTTCTGCCAGCTGAGTTTTTTGAAAGCAAATTGTGTTCTGCAATTTCAGAGAACACAAACCTTTCCATGAAAATTAAGACAGTTAAAACACAGGTAAAACAGTTGGTGGTTTTGTTAAAAGATGTGGAAGAAACATGAAAGCCTATCCTCAAATTTTGTTAGGCCGACACCAAAATTTCCAGACCTCTATTAAGATAAGTAGCGAAGGTAGAGCTTTTTCTGAGATGGACATCAATCTACTCAGTTCCCTTGAGGTAATTACATGGGGTGGGAAGGTACTGCGTCTTCTGTTTCCTGTCCCCTTTTTATTCTTTGAAGCATACAAGTGTCAGTTACATTGGTGAAAATCAGTGATTGCTTTCACCAGACACCTTCTGAGAGAATACAACAGCCTTTGATCTACTTACCTTTGAAGGGTTTGGTCTTTGGACTTCAGACAATGTCAGGAGCTTGGCTTTTTTTTTTAAGATATAGTTTGGCATCCAAACATATTTTCTCTTTTTCTGGAGGACTTGCACGAGTTTGTCTTTAAGCCTAAGCCAAATGAAAGTCTTAGAGACTTTCATTTCTTGTGCTAGAACACTTGTATGTCTCTTAAGCTGGACTTGATGTAGGGAAATAACACCAAAGCTGGAAGCTATATAATGGTGTAAGAATTTGTTTTCTCAGAAAAAAACATAGTTATAATAACTGAAACCAAGCAAATGGGCTTTTCTGGGCAGTATAATTTTTATTTTCTAAGAAAAATATAGTTGTAATGACCAAAACCAAGCTAGCAGGCTTTTCTGGGTTGCATAATTTATTAATTAGCTCTGAACCCAGTAGCACTATGTAAATTGGAAGCAACATGGGGTTTGGGTCTCTGTGTGAATTTACTTTTCTTGAAGAGTGAGAACATGATATAGAATAATTTGGAAGTCCTTTTGCTGTGTTTGAAAGCTGTGAGAGTAGAAGCTACTTTGGGGGACCAAAACAGGCAGGTTTTGAAGCATAAGAAGTGAATGGCTGCAGCTACAACAAAAAATTAGCCAGGCTGATGCAGAAGCACATAGGTATTTGGTGGACTGCGGAAGTAGTCCTTCAACTAAAAAGATACATTAATCTTTCACAAATAAATTAAAGTGGCAATATTGATTCAAAAGCTTCAAAATTGCAAGAATTTTGAGCCCTTTGCACTGCTTTAAGTTCTAGGGAAACAGGAGTGCTAGGAGAAAAAGAGATGATATTTCTGCTGGATGTTTCTACTGATGACAGCTACATCAAAGAATAGTTCAGGTTGAAAGGAATTGGAGGAGATCTGTAGTCCAACCTGCTGCTCAAACTAATATAAGCTATGAGATCAGGCTTTTCAGGGTTTAATCCAGTTAGGTCTTGCAAATGTGGAGAATGGAGATGGCACAATCTCTCTGGGAACCTGTTCCATACAGGTGGAAAACATTTTTCCCTGTCTGAACCTTTTTGGATTCTGTACTTGTCTTGTAGACAAAGAGTGCTGTGAGATGTCTACGTTTCCTTGATAACCTCCTTTTAGATACTGGGAGCCTGTTGTATACCAAGGAGTTACCTCTTCTCCAGCTTGAACATACCAAGTTTCCTCAGTTCTTATGTGTATTTCTGCTGCTGGTCATGGTGGTGACCATTCCCTTAGTCCACCCCAACTTTTTTCCTATGTTGTGAGGTGTGCATGTAGTTAAAGCAATCATTATCCTAGGTGTGTTGGAATGACTGCCAAATACAAGGTGATTACTAACTTCCCTTGATCAGGCTATGCTGCTATTAATACAGTCCAGGATGGTGTTAGCTATCTCTGCTCATATGCCACACTGCTGATTTGTGGCTGTATGTCATGGTTACCCGGTTCTTGTTAGCATAGCTTCTATCCAGACAGTTATGAGCCACATCACTTTAGGTAATCTTCTTTCCTAAATTCTGGTCTTTGCTCATGTCATTGTTGAATGTCACAAGGTTCATTCTGGCCTGTTCTTTCTCCATCGCTAGAGAATGGCAGTTCTTCTGTTGAGGGTATCAGTTGTATTGTGTCATATGATCTACTGACGCCTAGTTCACTGTTCACTGCATGTATTGGCTTACTCCAGGTGATGATTGAAACTGTTAAACAGATCTTAGATAGACCTCTACAGTATTACAGCCATTCCAGCTACTACCATCTGAGATTTACTATCAAACCACTTTTATCAATGTTATAATTCACATATGTAGTCTTAAGTTGTAATAGCTATAAAAATACTGTGTGAAAAAGTGCTAAAATTCTTGCTAAAATCATATTATAGTGCTAAATATTTGATCTACTTGCCCTCCTTTTGTCCACAGCCCTGATCATTTTATCATGGAATATAACAGGGTTGGTCAGGTATGATTAAGCTCCCTGAGTGTTCCCAATCACATTTTTCTCTTTCATGAGCCCAGAAAATTGTTCTAGAAAGAATTGCTTTGTAACTTTCCAGGGCTGAAATGAAGCTCTGTGGTTTATAGTTTATTGGCTTCTCCTTTTGACTTTTGCCAAATATAAGTGTGAGATTCGCTTTTCTTCATTTGCCAGGGACCTCCCCCAGATTTTGTGACCCTTCATGATGATAATCAGCAATGCCACTTTGAGATTAGCCAGCTTTATCAGAACCTTTGAATGTAGGTGAGCTGACCTCTTCAGTTCTATGGGTTGAGTTCTCACAGGTTATCTCAGACACAGTCTTCACCTATTGCTAGCAATTTTTCTCCTCGTAGTGTCCTTTTGCTGAAATTGGAGGCTTGGGAGTAGACCTTGTCAGGGAAGATGGAGGACAAAAAGGCAGGGAGTATGCTGGCTTTCTCTCTCTGCTGTGTTTAAAATAGCTGCTTTGTGTATAAGTATGTTCAAGTTTTCTTTCCTACCTTAACAGTGGTAAAATCCCTTCTCATCTTGGTCATCTTTTGTGAATGTTAGTTCTAGGTGCGTTTCCCGAGGCACCTCCTTTCTATCCCTATATACTTAGGCAATCCTCCAGAATTTTTCCCTGGCTTCCTGTCCCTGGGTCTGTCTCCTATTTGCTGTTGTTTGGCCTTGTAATTTTCTCATGACACACCTTTTTATCCACTTTCTATATATTTGTTTTCTTGAATACCAGGAGGACTGATGTAGTTCAAGAACTGGTTGAAATTTTGAGTTGTCTGCTATTGAAATAATGCAATTCTGAGTAGAATAGTCATGGTTTAAGAGTGGTATTCCCCAGTTTAGTGTTCCTATAGAAACACACCCAACCATATACCGCTCGATCATTCCCCCTTCTTTTCCTCCTTCTGTGACAGGCTGGAGAGGAGAATTGGACTCACAAAAAGTAAAGATCATGGGCTGAGATAAGGACACTTTACTGGACACAACAATGCAATAAGACAGTGAACTGTAACAGCAACAATACTAATGACAGAATGCACAAGGAAAAAAAGTGATTGATCTACCTGTGATTGCACACTGTGGAAACCCCCAACCATTCCCAGTCCCTCGGCCATGCTACCCACAATGGAGTCCTTCCCCTGTCCCCAGAAAATGACATGAGGTGGTATAGAATAACCTCCAGGTCCTAGCTATGCCCACTCTTGGCTACTGCAAAATATAACCCTGTTCTGGCCAGAACAAGGGTAAGAATATAGTCAGGTATGTGGAAACTTGAGGAGCAAGCTTTGTACTTGAAATCCATGCTGATGATGCAAGATGTGATATCTTTCTGAAGAGAACTAATGTGTTAATTAAAATATGATGACTTCTGTTTATTATGTCTAATCTGGAGTCTATATTCAAATGGTAAAATGAATTTATGACTGGAAGTCTTAACACAAACCTTGGTAATGGAAAAGAACATAACCATAACCGAAACGGAAAAGTTTTTCTTAGAAGGAATATATAAGTTTTTTCACGTAAAAAAAAAAATAAGACAAGCAGCTTCATAAATCATATGACGTGGTAACATGATGTGATACCCAGATTGTCTTTTAAAAATACGTAGAATACTTGACATAAGTATTTTTGATTAAAATGTTCTAATGTTGAAACTTTTTCAGATTAGAAAAAGAGTGTTACTCCTCCAACAATCAAATTAAAGAACTGATTGAGGAAAAGAAGAAGGTAATTATGGACCTCTCTGCAAGACTAGGGAATGCTGAAAAAAGCTGCAGTGAATTGCAGAGTGAACTTGCAATGGTAAGGCAAAAAGCCTATGGCACTTGTTGTTTAGGTTTTTTAAACATATTCTGAACATAATCTGCATTTGCTGTGCTAAGCTGTGGAATAAATCTGACTATGCATTACTCTGATATTTATTTATATGACTTTGTTTTGTGAAACGAGTAAATATGGATAAGATACTGGAGAAACTAATTCCAAAAAGTGTTTTAAGTGATACACTAAGTATTTCATTCAGGAATTATTTGCAGAAAACAGTTATTTCAAAAGTAGGCTATAAGTCAAGAGTAGCCAGCCTTTGCATTCCTAATGAAGAAGGCAATTTGTAGATATGGATTATGATTTTTTGTGAAGAATGTTCTATCTTCCTATCCAAGCTTTTTTTTCTCAGGCCTGATTAGTTACCATTGTAGACCTGCTTATTTCAATTTCACATGAGGTTTTTAATGCAAGCATTTGACTGCAAAAACTGTTTGAAAATGTCTTCTCTTGAAGGTTGACAAACTTTTTAGTTGATTGGGGTTTCTTTCATTTGGTGTGCATTTGTTGTATTGCATGTATTTACAGCAGTACTTTCTGAAGTAGTTTTCCTTTTATATGACCAGTTGGTGCCTTCCCACTGTCTCTAAGCACCCCAACTTTGAATATCAATTTTGCCATCCTCTTTAATAGCAGGAGGGTCAAAACAACGAGCTTAGGATATCTTCATTAATGACATAGATGAAGGGATGAGAGTGCACCCTCAGTAAAGTTGCTGATGACGCTGAGCTGAGTGATGCAGTTGACACACTTGAAGGAGAAGATGCCATCCAGAAAGACCTGGACAAGCCAGAGAAGTGGGGCCATGAAAATGTCATATTATTTACCAAGACCAAGTGCAAGATGTTTGTATCTGGGTCAGGGCAACCCCCAGTGTCAACACAGGCTGGGGATAAGCAGATCAGAACAGCCCTGCTCAGAAGGCTTGGAGGTGCAGGTGGGTGAGAGGGGCTTGGATGTGATCCTACTGAAAAAAAGCAAGCCAAATACGTCCTGGGCTACATCGAAAGCAGTGTGGCCAGCAGGGAAGGGGACGGATTCTACCCCTCTGCTCTGCTCTGCTCTACTTTGCTCTGGTGAGATCCCACCTGCAGGGCTGCATCCAGCTCTGGGGTCCTCAGCACAGGATGGAGATGGACCTGTTGGAGAGAGTCCAGAGGAGGGCCACCAAGCTATCACAGGGATGGAGCAGCTCTGCTATCAAGCAGCCTGGAGAAGGGAAGGCTTTGGAGTGGCCTAATTGTGACCTTCCACTACCTGGATAGAGACGTTTCAGAAGGGCATGTAGTAAGAGGACAAGGGGAATGGCTCCAAACTTAAATGAGGTTTTCGTCAGATATTAGGAAAAAATTCTTTATGTGAGAGATGTGAGGCACTTAAACAAAACCGAAAAGTTATGAAATGTAACAAGGAAGCTCATAATAGAGAAGTTGTGAATGCCTTGTTCTTGGACGAGTTTAAGGATGGGTTGGGCTCTGAGCAACCTGGTCTAGCATTAGAACTAGATGAACATTAAGGTTCCTTCCAAACCAATTCTATGATTCTATGATCTAGAAAACCTTATCTCTCTTCATTGTAAATACATTGTAGCATTTAAAGTATTTCTATACTTAGCCATTTGTTTTTTCTTTGTAAATTTCTGTTCCTGCTTCATCTTGGACCTATGAGTGTGGGAGATTACCACAATCTCTTCCCTGCTATTAGTAGGCATTGTGCTATTCAGTATTTAGGAGCAGAGATGTGCATCAGAGAGTCTTCAGATTTGTTGGTGTCTACTCTTCAGCTGATGGAATTATTCCATACATTGTCTTAGTGTTATCCACTTTCCAGGTAGATTGGTAATTAATAAATTGAAGAAAAATAAAACCATAGAACTGTTTTTCCTTTGGGAAGACACTGCTTGTTCAATGCAAGCACTAAAGTATTAAAAGACATTTGTAGCAAACCTGAAAAAAAAAATTATCAGGCACAAAAAGAATACAAAATAAAATTCCATAGTAAAATGTATGTTATACTTGACAAGAATTCAGGACAAAATTCTATTCATGAGTCAGGTTTTTTGGTAATGACAACAGTATTAAATGGTGTACTCAAATGAATGTTCTGTAACTGAAAGTAAAAGCAAATAGATTGCCCCACTTGAAAGAACTGTCTTATTCAATAGCAGGTTTGTTGTTTAGTTGTTTTTACTGGAATGATTTCAAGCCACAAGACTGTCTTGAACAGGTAATAAAAATACTCATTTTCTGAAGAGTTGTATTAGTGGTTCCCCTGTAGGATTTAGATTTTTTCACCTTGGATTGGGATTTTATTTTTCCTGAACACTTTTGTATTTGATTGGGGAAGCAGGAGTGGCCCTGGTGTGTAGTCTTGTTTACTCAGTATAAACAGTTTCTTTGTTATTTTTCTTCCCAAAATCAAAAAGCAGACGGCCGTATACTGTTATTAGGCTTTCCTTTACTTATACTAAAATTGTGTGAAATTGTCAGTACGTTCTCTTCCCTTTATTCCATGTCCTGCTTTCTTGATTTTTAATTACTTTCTTATATTTTGTATTATTATTAGATATCCTGAATACATGTTTTCCACTTCAGTCTGGTTTCTCACAAACTGTTAACCATTACAAGGTAATGGGTTTGTTTGTAAAATATTTGTAAGATACATAAAGTACATGATTTTGAAACTTTATATGAAAAAGTGCTTTTTTTCTGTAGTAGATCAGTTCAATGTACAGTAAAGTAGTCTGCTTGTAATTTTAAATATCAGCATATTGCAGAAGTTTGTCAGAAACTTGCATGGGTCAAATGTGATAGGATCTGTTACTATCAAACAAAATTGCTTATGAATGCTCAGCATGAGAGAGCTCTCAATATTTACATTATGTTTACTTGAGGAAATTGGTCTCATGCTTGGCATTTATCTAGCTATGGTGTCTAGAAATTTTTAGTTCAGGAGCAGGAATTTAGCATGGGCCACTGTGATTTAACACTTTGTTTAAATTGAAACAACACCAGCTATATTCTGCCCCATGGAAAGAATAAGAGGTATCTTTAGGAGTTTTAAGTTACTCAGGATATTTACATTTCTAGTACCTAGTAGTGGATGATTTAACATAGAACAAGCAGGATATTAAACCTTTATTTTATGAGAAATGAAAATGAAATTTGGGAAACTTGCCAGTTCATCAGAATGCATATTAGGAAAGTGAAATAATTGAAATCTTGTATCTTTGTATAAATTCTTTTAATTTGGAAGCTTGTCTTTTTCCCCATGGCATGTAAATCTTTCTCTTACAGCACACCTGAAGTCATGCTCTGTTTGTGTCTCAGCTGTCCATAAACACCTTGTAGGTTATTGCACACTGAATGTCAGAACAGAAATTTTGAGAATCTAGTTTCCAGGATGTACACATTAAGCATTGTCCTTTAACAGAAGTTGCCTAGGTTTTGACTTAACAGACCATAAAGCACCCTGAGGATTATGATTCTGTTCTACAACTTCTGTGGAGTAGAAGCGTACACAGTGGCAAACATGTAGTGTCATCTGGGCAATTTAATGTGGACGTTTCTTCCAGTTAAAAAAAATTCCCAGTCCTGATACACGCTCTTCATTATTTTTGTGCATTAATTAAAGGTATTCTGCGTTGACTGTTTTTTTCTAGCCTTAACATAGGGGCGGAGTTTTTCTTCCCAGATATTACTTCTATTATTGTGTAAATGTAAGAAGACTAGTTTAGTCTGAAGCAAATGCTTAAATGATCTTCTGCAAAAAACCAATTTTTTAATCTGTTTGGAAGTGCAGAGGTCACTCAAGCTCTGATGTCCTGGTGTTGGGAGACAGACATCTAAAATTTGAAGTTCTCAAAAATTTTTCTCTGACTTGGACAAGAAAATAAACCTCAAAACCCAAAGAGATACTTCATAACATTCTCTCCCAGCAAAAGTTGTTACAAATCTCTTTTTAGGGGAGGGACAAGAAGGATTTCAATAAAACTTGAGCCTTTTGATTAATTTGTAAGACTGAGATAATAAATTTCTTGAAAGATTGTATTTAACATACATGTTGCCAGACTCTTTAGAGATTTTTGAATATTCCAGTTGATATAAGAAAATAAAAGAAGTAATTCAATAGTTGATAACTTGAGCAAAATAAATAGAAGCCCAAGGAGAGAGTTTGTCAGTGATGGTTTTGTTTTGGTTTTATAATAAAATTTATGCCTGTTTGCTGAAAAATTTGTGCCACTTTTCTGCTTTACAGAGCATCGCATGAGTAAAGCCTGTGTTTTGTGAACTGTGGAGCAGTCTTGGTATTTCTCTAAATGCTTTGATTTGCTCCCTCAAGGTCATGCCTGGTAAACATTCTGATACTTTAGTAAAGAATTTACATAAGCACTTTGCAAGGCATATCTGAACATGCTGCTCCTTGGTGTCTATGTTGATAGTTCTGGATTTGGCTCTTACTCTGCCAGCACCAGTTGGAAATTGTGCTAGAGACTGAGTGGGTTAATAAGTCCATGTGCAAGACAGCCTTCCCAGGAACTCCTTGTGACTGTAGACTAAGTGGAAAAAAATTCCTCAGGAATTAAGGCTATTCATTGTATAGCTGGACCCCAAATCCCTGCTTACTACTGCAGTGGTTTAATTAAGGTAAGGCCTTAAAGTCCTACCCACATGTTTATTTTTTAAAAGTTATTGAATTTAAGATTCAGATGCACATTTGCAGCGTTAGATTCTGTGGGCTGTCCTGGAACTGTGTGTAGAGTTCACTTTTATTTTTAGGCAACTGTGGCTTTTGCAAAATAATGCAAAACCAGTGGGGCATCATTTCTATATGGAACAGGAGCAAAAATAAAATACTGGTAGTTAAAGTAAATATGTCTACAACCAAGGCAATAGGAACTTGTCCAGATAAATAAAAATACCTTTCTGGAAGATTAACACAAGTCTGACAGTGAATGGAAGAATTTTATAAGCAGTCAGTTTTCAGAATAGTTCCAGTTATCCTTATAGATAAGGACAGAAAGTATTTGGAAAAAAGATTTTCTCCTCATTGGAGTTTACACTATTTTTAATGAAAAATGCTTGGGTTCTCTTTAATTTCTTTGACAGTTCAATTTTGTTTTGAAATTGGTGATTAAATTAATATGTTGCCAAGCACCTTTTTTTTCTAAAAAGTTTTTGTCCTCAAGAGTTGTTTTATGGTAATAGGGGTCTTTTTTAAGGATATGAAGTTTGTTTCAAGGAAGCATTTTATATGCTAAAATTCAGCATATGTTCTGGGTTCAGGAAGTACTATTTTTCTCCCATGTTAGTAGATTTTTAGCCTTCAGTCTGGGATGTGTTGTGAAGAAGGGAAATGTCTGGGGACTATGTGAAATACTACTAGTATATGTTGAGAATTCTAAGTTCTCAAGTGTTCATGGAAATTTCACTCATCTCAGGGACTTGGAATTCCCAAGGGCAGGTACTTTGAGTGAAGACTGAGGTAAAGAAAAAACCAAAAAACAATGAGAAGGCCTTTTCTTCCAGTCACCAGATCACTGCCTCATTAGCAATGAGCCCACATTTTGCCTAGTCCTTCTTTTGCAGGTGATGTACTTCAGAAATCTTTTTCTCTTGCTCTTCACATCCCACATCATATTCAACTTTAAGTGGATTTTGCCATTCCTAAACATATCCTTCTAGGCTTTAAGCATGTATCTGTATTTTTCCAAGTTTAGTATGTTTGAACAATCTTCTTTATGCTTCCTATTAATACTTGAATTTAGTCAGGAGTTCCCTGCATATCCATACAAACTTTCGTTGGATTTTCAAGGTTGTTTTCAAGGATCACTGTCTAGGTCAAGAATGGTCTGTTCTGGTGTACAGGAAGTCAACAAAGTCAGCAGAAGACTTATAAATTTTAATTGAGTTACAAATACTCTTCCACCTGTTTTACTAATGTGATCTGTGAAGCAAAATCTCCTTATGAAAAGGCTTTAGCAATTTTCTTGTCAATTGATTTCCCATTTGAAATAACCTAGGAAACAATTACACCTGTACTTCTCCAGTAGTTCTACAGGAATGGCAAAGCATGTTGATGGATGGAGTTGTTGGGAAGGATTGTAATCACATCTCCTGGAACAGCTGAACCTGTCAGCTGCAATTGATTGTGTTTGACTCTGTACTCGGACACTCAATTTTCCTTTTCAAAGTAAAGCATTATGCATACTCCCTGTGTTTGTTCAGACTGAATAAAACTAAGGAGATAATAGCTACTTCTGTAAACTGTCCAATGGGTGCTTGTGGAGAAGATGGAGCTATGCTCTCCTTAGATCTGTGCGTTAGAAGTAGAAGAGAAAACAGGAAAGTTATAATTACCTGTAAGGGGAAAACAAAAAAACTCACAATGCAGATCATGAGATATTTGAACAGGTTGCCTGGAGGGTTTGTTGAAATGTCATCTTTGAGGATACTCAAAACTTGACTGAACAAGGTTCAGAGCTGCCTAATCTGACTCTGACCATATTGTGCTGTGAGTGGGAAGTGCGACCAGATAACCTCCACAGGTCCTGTCAGTTTAAATTCAGGATTTTATGACTGCATACATTCTTATTAGATACCTGTCAGTGAGACATAAGAAATCAGATCAATAATAGATCCATTTGGATTGTGCCTGGATTTTTAGCAGTGTAATTTACAGCACTTTTTTCCTTAAATTTCTGATCATGGGTGAATATAGACATTAGAATGGAAAGATGCTAAATATTTTGCAGTTCAAGTGTAGAGAGACTGGCTAGTTTAAGTAATTTCCTTTTGATCTTTCTTGCTGTTGAAAGAGCGACTAAAATTGACTTCAGAAGTGTAGCAAATAAAGTATAGAGAAGTGGTGAAGGCTGAATAGACTGGAACACACTAATTAAATTATGGTAAATTAACTAAACAAAATGGAAAAATTGGATGAGAAGATTGAAAAAACTCTCACATTTTACTTTTCCATAGAAAAAATTTTTTTTGAGAAGATTTAGTTTCACCTTCTCTATGCTGGAGTGTTTTATATAAAAATAATATTTATCTTCTTGTGATGTTTTCATATCATTATATTTCCTTCATTTTAATCTGTGAGGTCTCTAAGATTATGTCAGTACACAAGAGTAAATTACTTTATTATGCTTGCATCCTATAAAATATTTTTACTGCATCTCAACATTTATAAGTTCTATTTATATAGATAATTTTATGGAGAAGGAATTAAACCTTGGTTATTTTTCAATATATAGAAGTGATTTGGAAATTCTTTATGAAGTATAGTACAAACTCTCACACAAGGAAAAGCGTGTAAATGCTACAGGGGACCTAACACTGAAATACACATATGAATAATATATTAGTTGATATACAGTACATATAATTAAAATTGAAAGAGTAAAGCAAATTTATAAAATATTTAAACTGAATAGTGAAGAACACTGCAGAGAATTAAATGCATTTCTTGTTTTTTTTTGTTTTTTTTTTTATCCTTACAGTTTTCTGCTACCAGTATGTAGCAGTTTTCCTGGGGAGGATGTTTCCCACACATAAGAAATTGCCTGGCTTCCTTGACATGCAGTGAAGCATAACTAAAGCAACAGTCTCTAGATATGATAGAAAACAGTAGAATTTTGCTCAGTAAAAGGTTAACTTTCCATTACCAAGTAGAAATGGAAATGACACAAATATGTGTTACAATTTAGAATGGAAATAAATTGAGCAGTTAGAAGTCATGAGACATCTTTGACCACAACCTTTGTCATAAAAACATTGTGAAGTTATTTAAATCTAGTTTCCTCTTGAGTTGGGGTAGGATGGTTTTTTTTTGGGGTTTTTTTTTTTTTTTTCTGCTTTTAGCTCTGAATTGCTGAGGTATATTACTTTTTTGTCAGTGAGCAGCTAAAATCATACTTGAGAAGTCAAAAAGTCAAAACTATATATACCCAAAAGGACCTTGGTCTTATCTGGAATTATAGATGCATATATTTGAGAACTGCAAGTTATAATATCAGATATAAATTTAATGAATTATTTGGTAAAGTCTTTCTATTGTAGTGATTTAAAAAATCTGCTGTAGAACTTTTCTGACGTCAAAAAACTTGGTGTTGATTTGAACAATAGACTGCACTTAGTGAAGAGCTTTCTTTGAGAAAATTCAGTGATAGGGGCTAAGAGCTCTGTAGCTTTATGTTTCATGCACAAGGATGAGTTTTTGGTATTGAAGAAATCCCTATCTAGCATGGAACATATTAACAATTGAAGTAGGAAGGTCTGCAATGAGAATAGGTGTGGGATTTGACTGAGTGCCAAATAATGGATTTCTAGCCTGTCTGCCAGTAGTTGGGTGTCTTTCTGGATGCCCTTGTAGGATGTAACAATAGATTTCACTGCTTGCATAGATGGACAGAATTTAATGTCCATTAAGATATTTCTAAAGCAGCAGATGATGAAGACTAAGCTTTTGAAATCCTTTAGTTTTATGTTGTGTGTTACACGGTTCTTATTTGTTATGTCATGTTAGGTCTCTTGGCTCGAGAAAAGACATAATAAGAAATACAGCAGAAATTTAAATTTAAAAAGGAAAAAATATATCATTGTGATGTGTATTTCTTCTGTTTACTTATTTTAATGTTTTTTCCCCACCCCCTCTTGTCTTGTCTGTTCCTCCTGTCAAATAAAGGCCAAGAAACACCAGGTCTTTCTAACAGAGACGTATGAAAACAACATGAGAGAGCTGGAGTTACTCTTGGACAGCTTTGCTATGTCAGACCAGCGGACAGCAGGTTAGTTGAAGGTATAAAATGACAGATGCATCTGTCAATGTTCCAAAGTCACTACATTGTGGGAATTCTGCAGATGCCTCTTGCATTCCCTCTTCTCAACATGCTTTGATTTGATGACATGATAAGAGCAGTTCTCACAGCAGTCAAATGGCCTTGCTAGCTGAGAAAGGGTGACGGATTGTGGACCTGCTGTTGTCAGCCCAGAGCTTGATTTACAAATGCTGGGGTGTATATGATCGGTCAGGAAAGGGCTCACTTGCTGTGCTCTAAATCCAACAGAGAAAAAAGTCCTTACAGTATACCTGCAAAGGGAACAGATGTTTTGCCTGAACTGAGCCAAATTCTGAGTCAACCTTCAGCAACTTAAAGGTCATATATTCAAAAAGGTTGTGTAGGACACATGATGCAACACAACACTTTTTACAGTTGATTGTGGACCTGTACTATGTTGCATTCATTTAATCTGATACAGAGCGAATATTTCCCTTTTTTCATTAAAATAAATTGTAAGTCAGTGGCTGTCACTCTGCAACCTGGCTTTATATATAATTATTGTATCAGACTTAACAAACTGCTGCCTTGTTAGACATTTGAAATGGTGGCTAACATAAACAAGCTGAACTTTAACGTCAAGCTAGTGATTTTTTAATGCTGAAAATTGAACACTTTTAAAAACCTTCATTTAAAACTGTAATTCCTGTTAGGAAAAGTGCATACTAGAGACAAAGTGCTTCCAATGTATAGTGTAAGTAAACTGAAGAAAACAAGTAAAATGGAGTTTACAGAGCAAATGGGTTTATTTTATGTATATCATGATATATTTTTTGCATTTTTTAGCAACAATAGACATAAATGAGTTGCTAAAAACACTTAAATAAAGATACATTTTTTTGTATCTTCACAAAGGGATATTTTTTAGGGCCTGGTGATATTAAATTTCAATAAAGAATCAACTTCCTTGGATTTCTCTTGTCCTTAAAAGGTGAGTTTGGATTCTGTGATGCATTGATTTTCTTGCATAGACTATATGCTTTTATGTTTAGGAGCTGGTATAAGTTTTATTCTCTAATTATAAATGTGATTACCATGATAATGTCTGTAGGTTTACAGTTGAAAAGCTCTTAAAAAGTGTAGGTTATCCACAGTTTTGCAAAGTTCCACATGCTCAAAAGGGCTTAAGTAACTCTGGGGAGAGCTGGATGCTGCTGCCAAAATGCAGTTTCCAAAGTAGCAATTGTCTTTTGGATGGTAAGCCTTGCTGAGAACAGCTTTGACTTGTTCGTATAATATTAGAAATTCAATAAGAGTACCTTCAGTATTAATTTGCTTTGTTTGAGGCAAACTTTTAAACTAAGTTAAATAAATAATATTTTTAAAACTTTAGGATCACTGAAGAGGCTCTTGAGGTGGATAGTAGAATTTAGTTTTGCAGTGGATCAACTGAGTCTTTACAGTCAATTACAATATTTTAATATTAGAATAGACATAGACTAAAACTTTTGTTCTACGTATTTGCTATGCTTTTAAGTTTGAAACTTAATTTTTAATGCTTTTGCATTATTATGTTATCACTGTGGTGTACTTACAAATTTTTGTATTTAATAGTATTAAATTTTTAAAAATTATTGTTATTTTATTTGAAATGGGAAATGGCAGACCTACAGGCCAATAAAAGTAAAAATCTTAAATAAATCTTTGTCGTCTAATTACTAGATGAGGGGCTACATGAGCCATAGGTGTTGGGGAAGTCGTTCTTGTGGTCAACATTGAGCCCAAGGGGTTGAGAGATCTATTTAAAAATCTGTCAGTATTAAAGATCCAACACTAAAGGATTCAGCCCCTTAATTCAAGTGCTGTGATTATTAGGCTATACAGTAAAGAGAAGATAATACTGTATTTTTATTGATAGGATTGATCGTCAGCCCAGTTGATGCTGGTTCAATGCCAGGCACCCATGAAAGCTGCTAAGTCATGCAGCTGGACAGAGGAGAGGAAATTTAACAAAGGGTTCATGGGTTGTGGTTAGGACTAGGAGAGTTTACTCATCAAATACCATCACAGGCACCGCGGGGTCCCTCCCATGGGAGACAGTTCACTGAGAGCTTCTCCAGCATGGCTCCATCTCATCAGCAACAGCTCCCTCCAAACTGCTGCAATGGGATCCATCCCACAGGCAACAGTCCTCCCAAAACTGCTGCAGCATGGGTCACTCTTCCACGGCGTGCAGTCCTCCAAGGCCAGGCTGCTCCAGCCTGGCAGCAAGGCCTCCCACAGGATCACAACCTTCTCCAAGGTGTCTGCCTGCTTCAATGTGGGGCTCCTCCACGGGCTGCAGGTGGATCTCTGCATCTCTGTGGCCCTGCACAGGCACAGCTGCTTCACCATGGGCTGCACCATGGGCTGCACCTTGGGCTGCAGAGAATGTGGGCTCCGGTGCCTGGAGCACCTCCTGTCCCTTCTCCACTTGATGTCTGTTGAGTTTTTCTTCTCTCTTGCTCTCATTCCTGCTTCTCTGTAGTGACAATTAAAATGGTGCCATAACATTTGTTGTGATTTATTCTTAAACCTGCTATCACAGAATAACCATTTCTAATTGGCCCAGCCTTGGCCAGTGGCACATTCATCTTTGGAGCCACAGGGATTGGCTCTGCTGGACATGGTGGAAGCTCTAGCAGCTTCTCACAGAAGCTAACCCTGAAGTTCCCCCCCACTGTAAAAAACTAGCCCATGCAAACCCAATGGAGATTAAAACCTGAATAGTTTTAGAAAGCTTTCTGTTTTTTATGCATGTCAAAATAACAAGCATAAATCCATGTCTTCTTCTTTCCCAGTGACCTTTATAAATTTTCCAGAGCATTGTTATTCTTATTGGTCCATTTGCATGAATTCACTTTGTATCTTTTCAGTTTATCTCATTGTGCAGTTATTCAGCAATAGAGTATATTCTTAGGAGTGTTTGCCTTCAGGAAAAAGAGGAATTGTGGTTGTAGCAATCTGAAAAAAAGGTGAAATTAGTGCAAAGTACTAAGAGTGTTAGCTGCTTTGAGTTAGCATCACCTTTTTTGGCCAAAAATCTAAAACACAGCACCATGTGAACTGTTATGAGGAAAATTATAGCTTTTCCTACCCTTGACCCAGTACAGCTAGCAGGAAGTCTGGAACAGCAGATTTAAGAGTTTATTCACTTGTATACTTCTGTAAGACTCGTATGGAGCTTGGCATTTTCCCCAAATTCTTCCCTCAAACTCTTGGGTAATACTGGGTGTACACTTCAAGTACTAGGTTGGGTTTTTTATCTCATTGCTGACATGGTGCTTCTACCATGGTAGAGTACATTTCAGTTATGATGTGTGTCTCCTGCACAGTTGTATGAAGTCAGACAACATTTGGGCAACATTAAAGCCATAGATTTGTATTCAGCTAATGCAGATAGGCTGAATCTGTATTTCTATTGGCAGATGGAGCTGCCTAGAAATAGGGTTACAGCAAAGGCAGGGAATGACAGCATGAAAAGTTTACTGGCAAAATTCTAATTTTGGCAAACAAGATATTAATGACATCGTTGCAGGTTTGGACTTAAATATGAAAATACATTATTTAGGCAGTTTGACAAAAACTATGTTATGGAAGACAACTCTTGGATTGACTTAATGGGTATTGTTTTAAACTGAATGAGAATTATGTGTTATCACTTTGCTAGAGCTAAAAGTATGAAAAAATAATCTTTACTTTTTTATGCAACGAGATCAATGCAGAATATTTCTACAATGGGTGGTAGTCAGAGGTTGGTCTTGTAAATGAGAAGACTGGACTGGATCTCTGTGCATAGCTATAGCTGTGGTTATGTGATAAAAATTATGGTAAGGTCACACTTGTCACTTTCTTCAATGTGAAGTCTTGACTTCTCAAAAGACGTCAGATTTTATGAATTCTTCTTAGATTGGTTTTAAGTGTAGCACTGTTATTTGGGATATCTCTAAGATTCACGGGGCTCTGAAGTGCCATTAAGAAACTCTTGGTTTTTCCCTGACTTTACAGACTTTTATAAACTGTGGTAAGTAGGTGGAGTGGCTGATAGAACAGAGGTCTATCACTGGGATGTGTGAGCTGTAGAGCCAATCTTGCTTCTGTTACTGAAAGCAATCTTGCAAATATGTGTTGCTTTGAATAGGTGGGACTTTGACTGTAACAGCTAGTCCAGCTTGAATAGCACTTTATACTTTCTGGTATTATCCAAAGTCAGGAGAGAAGAGGCTAACTAACAGAAAGAATTTTGTGAAGAGCAGCTGGCAATACATTCTGACTTGTGCACTTAAGTACATTTTCCACTGAATTCTATTGGTGTTTTATGTGTAGCCTACAGAAGGAATTTCATCATTTGTATACAATGCCTTAGTAGAATGTTATGCTTATTAGATGATGTTAATTCTAGAATTTTTTAAAAATGCCCTGCAAGTATGTAGGTAGACCTCCTCTGATAATGTTTTATGGACAGCCAAAGAAAAGGCTCACACTTTAGTATCTGATTTGACTTTATGAGCCACTCTGTGTAAATTGCTTAATGACACTGGTGATAAACACTTGTATCATTGTTTAGTTATGCTGGGAATTATGATGATTTAGCCTCCCTGGATTTAAAATCCCACAGATATTTTCACTTTTGCAAAATAAGACTGCTATTAGAGTTGGTAAAGATAGTTTTGCATATAGAGCATGTTAAAAATTTTGAAAAGTTGATACTATAATTTGCTACAAATTAAGCGATAAATTCTTCTTAAGAGTAGAAATAATGCTGAGAAGAATGGTCTGTCAATAACCTAGTATTGCGGTGTAACACCAGGAAAAAAGAAGCGTTTGTTCTTGGAAACTGAGTATCAGCTGACATCTTGTGACCTCTCGATCAATACAGTGTTGTTTTGCTTTCTTGGCACATTGTTCTATGCACTTTGGAATGGTCAGACTTGTTCATATGTCCCTAATTAAGGCAACAAGATCAGAAGTCTCAATCTAAAGGCTTAATAAATAAGTTTAGTGTGTATGTAATGGATATATCAGATTTCTAATTGAACCGTTACATAGAACTCTGCAGACAGATAATATTTTTTTCTCATTTCCTTTAGAATAAAATTCAAGATAATTTAAAATGTTATTAAGTCCTCTCCAAGCATAACATAATCATGTGATCTTTGGCTTGGTAAGGCTTTAAGTAAATGAAGTACTGCATTACTATATGCATGTTTAGTCACAACAGCAAAATAATGTCAGGAAAAGTGTAACATTCTTAACTTTCAGACAAGATGTTTTTCAACATATATAATTGTGTGGTTTCAAAGTTGGCTTGTCTGACTGAATGACGCAGTCTTGACCACAGTAGAAATAATATGTGAGACTGCATACCAAATGCATTAGGTATAAATGTAATCCAGAATTAACAGTTCTGTAACTTCTATTAAAGGTTTTATACAAGTGTCTTTCAGCTATAATTGCTGTGAAAGCATGGCAATACAGCTGTATCTCTCATGGCAAAAAAGGCTGCTCTTCAGTGTTCTTTATTGTCACTGAAGCCCTAACTAATTCTAATACCTCACATCCAGGGTGAGTAATTTTCTCTCTGTGGCTTTAAGGCTTAATTTTTGTTCTGTGTTTTCCTTCAGGCACTTGTGAGGACAAAGATAAACCTCTGAGCTGCTCTGTCGTTGAGACTTTGAGGTGTACCTTGACAGCTTACCAGAACAAGCTGGAAGATACGTCTAATGAGGTAACACTTGCAATGTTTGGCGCTATATGTATTGCATTTGGCCTGCAGCAGAACATACACTTCACTTGTAAAAAAACGGCTGAAGAGTGGGAATGTTGAATTGACAGCTTCAAGTATGCCCGAAGAAAAAAAAATCTCTGTTGCTACTATTTCTCTAAGCTTGCCCTACAGTAAAGTTTCACATTTGTGAGGACCAGAACAGTTTTTTTGTCTTTCTAGTTTAATTTCATTTTCTTGTTCAATCTTTTGGAGTTATTTTTAAAAAACATTTAGGAGAACAAGTCATTGATAAACAGGATTTTAGTTAAAAGATAATGATCTAAGAGGGCAACTGCACATAAAGCAATGTTCCTAAATACACAATGGTTGAGCCTCAGTAGTCACTGCTGTATCAGGCATGTAAATTATTATGCTCCCCTGTACTTCTAAAATTGGTATAATTTTCTGAGGAGAGTGTATTTTCAATGGATGCTCTTTGGGAGCTATTTTGCTATAATTTCAATTAAAATAGGACTGTTAGAGTACTGTCTTTAAGTTATCTAAGAAAATAATATATTGAAAATATTTCAATTTTGGGAATCTTACCCTTGAAAAAAATCAGATGTTTTCCATGCAGTCCTGCTGTCCTTTAATTTTACTGACTGAGAAATTACAGATTTGTATTTATTTTCTTGTCTGTTTTGCTAGTCTGACTAAATTACTCCTCTTGGGTGTAAATGTTTTATTCATTTGTGGCTTTAAAGGCTGTAGAAAGAAGTTAACTGCACCATTAAAGCTTTTTGTACAAACTTGTGATTAGTCTTTGAATTAAACTGGTAAATACAGAAAGGCAAGGTGTGATGAGATTGTAAAGGTGCCAGCACTCTATTTCATTTCTAGGTTTTGTCTTTTATTTTGACAAATGCATAGTCTAGCATTTTTAACCTATTAACTTTAATAGGTTAAAAAAATTAAAAAGCAAAAAAAAAAGTATATAAGTTTTGCCCCTTTTATTTGAAAAAGAATGCTGTCTCCCACAAGACCTTTGAGTTTGTTCAAGGGGCACAAAAATAAGTGACCATGGTAACAATTATACTTTTTAAACAGCAAGCACTGTTAAGTCTCTCCCAGCGAGATAAGAGAACTGATGTGTATAGTCATTATGAAACTCTTCTGAGACCCAAGTCTGGAAGCTGAAGAGTAAAGTAACTAGGAACATATTACCCACAGCGAATTGTTAGTTGGGAGGAGGAGCATCACGTGATAGGCAGCACAGTTGAAAAGTCGACTCAGCAGGCTTTGGCTTACTGATGTGCTTTGTTGTGAAACTGTGCCAGAGACAGCAGTGGGGAGACCAAGGGGGTGGCTTCTAAGAAAGCAAAGAGAGTGTTCTGACAGAAAGAAGAATGAACTGTCAAGGAAAATAAATCGCAAGCAGAGCAGGACCAACAGATGACCTGCCACAAGACTTCCCAGTAGGACTGTGTGTGACTGACCCTGAAGTTGTCATATGGAGCCAGAGATCACTGAGCACCTTCGTGGTGCACAGAAAGGGCAGAGCTCTGTCCTTCTTGATTACCCCCGCCCCCACAGAGAATGCTGCTTTTGGCTTTTTATGTGTGAGATATGTTTAATAATAAAACTTTTTAATAATACAATAATGCACAAGGGGACTATGAAGGGCATTGTGCAATAAAGCTAGGATGTTTTAATACACTATAAGGAAGGGTTTTAGTATGCAACACAACAGTATGAAAATTTAAGTAATTTTCTTTATAAAAAGATTTTCAACAAGATCCCACATATTGATGAATTTATTAATGTATGTGTACACCTGTATATATATGTGAAATATGCTGGTGAACTTGTCATGTGTCATCTTTAACTTACTATGTGAAACATTAGATTAAAAGATCTAGTTAGTTTGTGTAGTCACACAAAGTAACAAACTAGAAAGGTGTAGAAGTGTTTTGGGTTTTGTAGATAACTAGCTTCTGACTTTTCATATAGTGCAGAAACCAGAATATGTTTGGATAGAGGGAAAAGCCTAAGGACTGGAAATATTCCAGTAGCATTCTTTAATTTACTATGATTATTTCTAAGAGGTCTGCCAAGTTTCCTGACATCAAAATATAAAAATAAACATTTTAAATTTAATTAATAAATTTTGTAAATGAGGTGTTCTGTCTCTGAGTTGCTCCTTAAATGTCAGGTGTTAGCAGTATCATCATATAAACAGAAATACAGATTATTTTGGTATATTGTTACCATTTTTGAAAGGGAAAAGTGAAACTAGTACACATGATGGTACCTTAGTACACATTAAGCAAACTCTGAGTTTGCTTTTGCTTTTAATCCTAAAAGTCACTGTGCCTCTGTGGTACATTGCTGCTTTTTACAATATGTGAGTACTATCCAGTGCTCAGTAAAGAATCAAGCTTGTAGCTAGGCAATTTCTGCAAATGACCACTAACTTGAAAACTTGTTTTCTCAAACCACTCCCCAGATCGTTATCTGAATTTACTATGCTTTCAAGTGCATTTCAAAATCTGTGTTTTTGTCAGATATTTTGAGAGTTGATAGACTAGGTAAGAATGGACTCAGTTTGGGATTCTGCCACTACTCTTTATTTTAAATCATTATAAAAGAGTTATTTAGTGCTTTTAATGGCATGTTATTTAGATTGTATGAAGTACAAAAGCTCTCCAAGGAATTGAAATAAATTTAGTTTTTTTTACTTTCATATACAAAATTCTTCCTTTCTATTATATTTAATAGATCATTGCAGCCTTTCTGTAAAAGCCTGTTTGATCTTCATGTTTTTTTGCAGCTTGAGAAAACGAAGACTTTGTGTAAAAAGATGACAAAAGAATTTGAGGTATCTGAGGAGAAAATGTGTGCTTTAAGACAAGACCTTAAGGTATGGTTTAATGAACTTAGCATGAAGTTTGAACATTCTGCAAAAGGTATCTTTCTGGGTTAAAAGTACCTTTTTTTCTTATCAGATTAAGTCTTTATATCGTTGTAGTCTGTTGAGAAAACTAGTTTACCTTGCAAATTTGTGTGAAACCGTGCTGCTTTATCCTGTTTACCACAATAAAGTACATAATTTCAATGATTGCACTTCTGAAATATATAAAATACATTGATAAATTTGCAGGGTATCATTTTATATTGAAATCATTATCAGTAATCTTTATTTAACTGTTTTTCTCAATAAAAGGGAAAGAGAATTAATTACCTCTGTGCTTATGAAGGTATGTTTTATTAAAGATGTCAATTCGTTACTTTTTTTTTTTTTTTTGTTTGTGTTTATCAGAAAGGTCAATGCATGTGATGCATCAAGTTGTCTTTAACAGCTGTAGAGTGTGCGGTCTGAAATTTCTTGGAGTAAAAGTTTCCTGAGATAAAAACACTTGAGTCATTCAGAGCTCTTTCCTTTAGTTTTGGAACAAAAATTTTTTTTTTCTCTTTTTACCTGACACCACTTTTGTAATGTCCTGTCTGGCTACATCAATAGCCAAAGGAGTGAACAAGTCCTGAGGTTGTGTTTTAACTTAATCTCCCAACTAGCAGTGTATTGTATTACTGCCAAAATAAAATGTCTGTAAACACAGCATTTTTCAGATTCTTTTGCTGATGATAAGCTGCTTTATGTTTTATGCAGTGCTTTTCTGTAACATTCATTGAATCTTCACTGTAATGGATACTTGTACATAATGTGTTGTTACCTGTTATGAACTTAACTAATTTATGTTCAGGAGATTTAGTACTTCTGCTTCTGTTACAGCACCTTTTTAAATCACCTAAAAATTTTGCAACCCTTTCCAGGTGATACTTGTATTCTTCACACACAAACTGAGCTTGCGACACACACAGGGTATCGGTTTTTATGCAATTTGCCTGTTTTCAATCTCTCTAAATTTTTTTAAATAATTTTGTATAGATGATAAAAATGTAGATCCAGTCTGAAAGCATATGTATTAGAAATCTAAAATTATTTTAATATTTTAATGTTTTTATTTAGAAACTTGTCATTTTCTGATGAATTTGGTGGTATCTTTTGTATGATTTTATGGTCTATTAAGCTATGATTTTATGAAAAATAAACACTGTTTTCAGTTTGACCTTTTGCAAACTTTAGCAGCACTGGAAATCCAGTGTAGCTGCACTGTATTTTGGCTCAAAAGGGATAGTGTATTAAGTTCTGTGTTTACCTGGTGAGATTTTGGTGCTGGTAACATAATGGTATTTATGACCATTTCTGATTATGACTTACTTCCCATGGTCAAGCCTTCAAAGAGAGTCCTCACATTTGGTTTTTTTTTTTTTTTTTTTTTTTTTTTTTTTTGTGTAGCATGTATAGAATACAATGCACAACAGAAGCTGTGTTGCTTTCAGATTCAGCCCTAACAGATCAGGGATTCACTTAAGAAAATAATGTATCTTCAATAGGTCTGAGAGCTTTTCACTCTGCAGAGGACAAGTTCCCTGTGTTCTGCATCTCATTTTTGGGGGTAGAAGGGACTGTGAAGATTACTGCATCATGGAGCTTTTACCTGTTAGAGGTGGATTTCCAATGCTGTCTAGTTGCAAGCTTTTGAAGAGACCTCTGCAACAGCTTGCAACTAGACGGCATTGGAAATCCAATTTCAAAATTGTCAATTTTGAAATTCTGTTCTTGAAAGATAAAGTCCACCTAGCCTGGAATCCTGTGAATACATGTGCTTATATGACTCTTTTTCTTTCCTCAGGTGATGAACACTTGAATAAGGTAGTAAAATTTATACCAACTTTTCTGTTAAATTCCTCTGTTTTATAGGAAGCTCAGGATACCATGGCTGATGCCAATAAAGAGTTAAACTATCTGCAATCTAAGTGTGCAGACAGAGAGACTTTAATAGAAACTTTAAAAATGGAACTACAGGATGTACAGCAATGCTGGGAGAAAGAGCAAGTACGTGCCACAGAATCTGAAAATGAAATCCAGAAGCTTACCAGGGCTTACCAGAAGGATATGGAGGTATTACTAGAGACAAGATGACTGTCAAAGAGTCTTTATTTAATCTCAGCTTTATACATTTACATACATCAGATGGTTACTCTTAGTTTTAAGAGATTTATCTCTAAAATATGATTTTAAGATATGTATTTTGAAATATGTGTTTAATATCTACAGGATTTCAGGACATATTGGTTCTCTTTTCTTCTATATCAGAACTAATAGCTTAATCATTCCAGTATTTTGAATTTTTGAAAAACAGACTTTATTTAAAAACCTATGTCTGACAAACAATTATTTCTTTCTTTCAAATTATAATGTAGCAGAAATGTTTTACAAGTGAAACATCTAATATTGTCATTATCATGTGTTAATTACTTATCCACATAGCAATTGATAGATAGCAAATACGGAATTGAGTTAGTTTTGCATGCGTGCCACAAAACCTAGAAATTCTTACCTTTTATGTATTAGCTAATTGTGGTGTGCTATATGTGGGAATCGATCTACAATGTCTTATTTGAGAACTATTATCTCTCTCCTTGTATGTATTAACAAATGTTAATTTTGTTGCTTTTTCTGCCCAGTAAAGCGGTTCTGTACTAGCAATAGCAATTATATACTTGTAGTTGTTGTGCATATTGAGCTCATTACTTCCACAAATTTGGATATGGATGCCAACTGAGTAAAAAGGAAACATTCTTTCCACCTCTTTTACAGTCTGGTATTTAAATAGGTTCCACATGAAGCAGCTGGAATTGTTACACACATCAGATAATGATTAAAGTGGAGGAAACTAGAAGTCTGGCTATATTGTAAAGTCAGCATGTCTACAACCCTGTGGTTGCATTCAACACGTGTGAATTGATTTGGGGTCTTGGAATCCTGTTTCTTGCGCCAAATGGATAATTACCGTCCTAGTTTTATCACTGCTCAAACATCAAATGTAATGATGGTGGCACACTGGATTTTCCTTGGAGAATTTGTAGATCTGTTAGAAACAAAGTTAAACTAACTGAACTACAATTTATTTTTAATTGTCTAAAATACTGTGAGATAATATTGAGAAAATACACCTAAGTGTAATGGAAAGGGCTCAGAAAAATCCTACTTTCTGATCTTGGCCATCCTTATTTTCTTAATGTAAAACCTCAACCAAGGCTCATGGAAAATAATGGGAACCTTTGCAATAGTTTACAGACTTTGTCCTTGTGACTTTTGAGGTACACCTTGCTAATGTTGTCTTAATTAAAGTTGCTAAGTTGCATATATGTACTACAAGCATTAAGGATGGAATTTCTGTAGCATGCGATTGTTGCTAAAGTTTATTTATAACTTGCAACAATTTATTTTATTATTGACTTAAATCAGTGTAAATGAATGTGTCATGGTTTGTAAAATTTAACTCGTGAAGCTAAAAGCCTATTTTATCTGGCCATTTAGTCTCATATATAATCCATAAAAAACAATTTTAAAAAGACTTTGGAGTGATAGTTGTATAAATGGTGTGTTGTGCTGCTAAGTCAATCAGAGAATTTTCTGCAAGCTCTGCAGTTGTTGTAAATTGGTGTAGTTAGAGTATAACTGAACATTTACCATAAGTAAATAAATTGCATGTACTAATAGCATGGAATTTTTAATCTGTATCAGATAGTCATTGTGATAACAACAGGACTGTTCTGTATTTGTATAAGCTATTTATATATTATGTCTGAATAGACACATTTAGTAAAAACTGTTTTCTTATATTTGCTTCAATATGTATGACTGCAAATATTAGCAATTGTGGTATTTTGAAAAAGGCTTTTGAATGAGCTGTGGGGGCTTTTTTTCACTTGCATGTAGTTCATATTACTGCCCATGTGATGCACGTCTTTAAATTCTAACACTGTTCAGATACATCATGTAATTCTCCTTTTGTTTCAGGAGAAACTAGCCTTCCTTCATAGCTTATACCAGCATTTGATAGCAGGCTGTGTACTTATAAAACAACCAGAAGGCATCCTAGATAGCTTCTCTTGGCCTGAGCTTTGTGTAGTCTTGCAGGAGAATGTTGATGCCCTGATCTCAGACCTCAACAGGGCTAATGAGAAGGTAAGTGTCCTTAGGCACCAGCTACCTCTATTAAATTCAGTGACATTTGTCCACATCGCAGTATCATTAAAAAGAACTGACATTCATCTTATTTCAAAAAGAATTTGGACGTTAATAATTCAATACCATTAATTATGGCTTGTCTACAACTCAGTTTGATGCCATTGCTGTGGGCATGTAAATGTGACTGAAGTCTGTATGAAGTCTCTAAGCTCCACTTTCAGTGCAGGACATGCTAATAGTACTAGCCAATATTAGCCACAGGGACCTAATTAAAAGAAAATAAATTAATCTTACTGATGAAGCAATTCAAAGAACTTAGTCATTTACACTAATAAAGCAAGTCTTTATTTTACCATAAAACTGAAACAAAATGCCCTTACTCAAGGAATATCATCTTTAAATTATATGTTTATTATTCAGAGTTTATTGTTTCATTTGAAAGAATGACAGTATGTATTTTTTTAATTTAATTGTAACTCATGGATTGTAGAATTATATTCAGTAACACAAATAGAAAATACCTGTTTTTATAGAACATTTCAATATTTGCTGTAGGGAGGAGCTGTACTTTTCAGTATGTAAGTATGCTTATGTGGCCTTTCTCTCCAGAAATCCCTGCATTTTTAGGAAAGAAAAGATCTCCTTTTAAATAAATCAAAGTGACTCCACAGACTAACATATGACAGTCTTTAGATTTTCAGTTCATTTTCTGGCTCCATTGATCAGGTCAGTCCTAAGACTAGTACAGCAACTCCGTAACTTGTCTGTGTTGACATTTTTTGAGACATAGTAAGGTTCATAATCTTCTTTTGAAGATTTTACATCTTCAGGAGTGACCACTCTTCTGGTCTGAGTAAGATGCAGGACTGGTTTCAGTGAATTGTTTTAACTCTGCCCATCATTTAATGAATATCCCAGCAGTCAGTTGGACCTACTCCCTTACCAAAGGAGTAGAATAAAATATGTATTATGAACATTTGATGTACTTTCCTGTTTTACTTTTGAAGTAAAGGAGGAAAAGGAGTGGAAGAGAAGGGAGTGAACATTATTGGCAGTGTTTGGGGATATTGTGTCATAATGTTTCTTGCTTTTTAATTTAGTATAGTTGTTGATATTGACTGTGAGGGCTCTAGGACTTTTTTTAGATACCTACCAGCTTTTCAGGGATTTTGAACAGTACTTGTGTTGTACCCAGTTTCTTGGGAACAAAATTTTCCTCTTGCATTTCTGTGTGACATATTTGAAAAGTAGTTTGCCGATACTCTCTCATAATTAATTGTAGGTGTGTGGATTTAAAGATTATTGTTACTTTGATTCATTCCTCCATTTAGTTTGTATGGGAGCTCCTAAGTTATCCGCAGAGTGAATCCATTTGTACTTGTTGAAAACAACTTCTGTATGCTAAAATGTCCTGAAATTCTTTTAATGCTTAATAGTATCTGGAATGTTTTGGTTTTCGACTAAAACAGAAATTAAATTAAAGACTGTTTTTTTATATCTTATTTGCAATTCTTTCAAACTTCTAATGGACTGGTATACTCAGATTAGTACTTTACCAACACAAGATTTAATGCTCATGTGTAAAAAAAGCCAAAACATAGGAGAAGTGTCCAGTTCAGGTTTTCAACAAAGAAAGCAACAAATATCTGCAATATGGTACAACAATGGCAATACTGAATCTAATTTTTTGCTCATTTTGTTGCACAACTCAAGTAAATAATCTGTCATGAAAGACTTTTACTTAGTTTTAATGAATATATTGAAGAAATTATGGTTTAGATTTTATGCCAGGATTGTCTGTGGTTAAACTGATATGCACCATAAAATAAAAAGGTGTTTAGAGAAGTAGAAGAATTTCTTTTTACATGCTTGTCACGCAGATATCTCACCTGGAATATGTTTGCAAAAACAAGTCCAATACTATGAAGGAGCTTCAGCAGAGCCAGGAAGATGCTTTTAACAAAATGGCTGCACAAATGAAAGCACAGGCAAGCTGTTGGCAGAATGAAAAAAAGTATCTGGAACAGCAGTACTCAGGCCTCCTTGGGGAAGTTCATGCAAGGGCACAGGTATGGTGCTTCCGATTTTTTTTTCCTTGTAAATATTTAATGGATTATTTCCGTAGTTTGACCCCCTAACCAGTTTAAGGTAGTTTAAAATTGAAAATACCTCCAAACTCCACGCTAGTATTGACTTAATTTATAATAAGAAATAAATGTCTTTGTTAAAACATTCTGGAAGTGAATTGCCTAATTTGGCTTACAGTTGCTACTGATTGTTTTGAGAATGCTAAGGCTGGAAGATTGAATTTGCTTGATTTAAGAATTATATAGGGCAGCAGTGATTTTTTCAGTTCATGCTTTACAAAGACTGTGTAGAGATACAGTAAAATGGTCTCATCTGGGGATAAATTTAGATATATACATTCTGACCCTAAAAGCCAATTAGCAGTGGTAGATTTCAACAGAATTAGAGGATGCTGTTACACAGATGATACAGTGAGCAGTGGGTCAAAAGTGTAAAACTGTTGGTACTGAATGTTAGTCAAGTTATTTGCAATTTTAAATGTTCAGTATTATTCTACAACCACCATTCACCATCTTTTCCATCACATTCATTTACATGTGTTTCATTTAAAAGTGTTGTGAAATTGAGGAAATAAAGTATGCCTTGTTACTTACGACTGCCACCTGTGATTACGTCATCTGAAGAATGCTATATTTGATGCAGATTTTAGTCTTCTAAGTCTTTGTGTGCTGAAAAATATATCTATCAAGTATTCTTTTTACAGAGCAATTTATGGTGAGTTCTTAGGATTGAGTTAGAATTTTTTAGCTTTTTTTTGCTTGATATTTACATTTTTTGTTGGATATTGACAAGGCTAAAAACATCACTATGAGTGGAATAAGTGGCATCCAGATCTATATTTAATTTCCCCAACATCCTGTAGTTTCAGCTTATGGCTTCCATGTACCAACAAAAAGAATGGTGGAATAAGGAAGCTTAATTTTAATTTTAAAACTTACATTTCCTTCCTAAAGAAATAGTGGAGTTACACAATTTAGATATCTTCCTCCTCTGGATGATGGGTCATGTCTTTAAAAACTCTAGTGTGTTGTGAAAAATAGGTGCTCTGCACTACTGCACTGTTCTTTGGGATGGTGTTAAACCTCCCAGCCTCTGCAGCTGAATTGTATAGATAGCATGTAAAGCACGTACTGATACTCTGTCTCTTTTGTGGAGTGCACATTAGGCATGTTTTTTGGAAAAAACCTCATCTGTCAGCTTGCTGTACAGGACTACTGAATTGCTAAAAGGGGAATATTTTCCCTTAGAAAACATCTGGGCATGTTTTCCAACACAGGCTTTGTAATGTTGGAGTGCAAGCTGGTAGTTTTGTAATCTAGGTAGTGCAATGTCTGTATACACTTAGATGATTCAACAATCTCTTTTCCATCTTGTGTTCCAGTTTGCCTTCCTTACTATTAAGTGTCAAGCGCTCAAGAAGACAGTCTAATTTCTTCTTGATTTCTAATTTGTGAATGACTTTCAATTTGCAAATACTAAATTAAGCCTTTCCTTTTCTGCCATCCATAGAGTCTATAAATGTCTATTGTTAGGGCTGTCGTAGTCCTGATTCCCATTTTCCCTGGCTTAACTGTACTTTACCTATTGCATTTTGAGCCAGTTAGCCATATTTGTCTACAAGATCAGTGCTTTGTTTGATCAGAGTTGTACAGACAGAATAATATCATAGCCTTATTTCCAAAGGAAACAAGGGAAAATATGCCACAAATTACAGAATATCTTCAAAGAATCTTTAAGGTTTACTGATTGCCAGCGATTACATAAAGATGCAGAATGCAATATTTAAATTTAATTATTTTAGCAACCTTTTTTCATTAAGTTTTATAGGAAACATATAATCGCTACAAGTGGAATATAATTTGCCAGTATTTCATTGTACAGCTGGGGGTCTCCTCACTCTAGGACACTTATTCTAGCACTACAAGGAAACTGTAGCATTTTGCTACATTTTCCATTCAAAGATCTGAGTCTTAATTACAAGCACTTTAGTGAAATAACCCCTTGTAGGGTTTAATTCCATTCTGAAAAGGCAAGATGAGTGATTTTTGCTGTCCTGCACCAACCTAATGGTGTATCACAGGATGCTTCCTTTTATTTGCAGCTTTGTCTTCAACCAGTCTTCCATGACTACCTCTAGATATTTTCTTCTCAGAGGTCCTGTGTTGAGACTTCTTTAGATTTTCAATTTGTTGGTATGTCTGTGGAAGCAAACCATAGAGTGTCAATTCACACTCTCAGGAGTTAACAGAGAGCTCTAATTGCACAGCAGTATAAGCAATGTATCTTGAAAATTATTGTTTTACTTTATTAGAAGTGCAGTAGACAGGGCTTTTTAGAATGGTCTCCTTATAATTAAAATGCTGCAAAACCTGGAGGTTTTAGTGACAGTGACACCTGCTACTGCTTCTGTCCCTAGCCAGTACTGTTCATGGTCCCTGGTTCCACAATAGGATCTATGAATGTTCATAGGTACTACGTCACAGCTGGTAATGTAGGTCAGATGGATCATGTAATCAGAAACACTTTTACTGTTTTTCTAAAGGACAGAATTTCCAGGAGTAGCCTTATCACAGATCAGCAATAAACAAGCCACTCTGTAGGTACCACTCTTTGTCAGTGGTCTCCATGTTTGGAGAGTCAGTGGAGCTTAAAATGCATATCCTTTTTCTTTGCCTTTTGTTGCAGGAGTCTAGTCCTCTTGATTTGATAGTGTGCCATTTTGAAAATGTTACTGTGCCTGTTCCTTAGCCTCACACAAATTATTTATTATTTATAGTCTCATAGGAAATTTCCTCTGAATTTTAACTACCAGTTGTTGTTTGTTTATTATATAGGCATTTATTAATCTGTCCCCATTTGTTGTGGCAACTGCTTAAAATAGAAGGGTTTTGCTCTGATAGACAGAAATATATTGTAAGAGAAAAATACCGTAACTACTTTAAAATGTCAATTTCAACAGAAAAATCAAAGGTTTGCTAAGCAGGAAAAGAGAAAAGTCCCCTGGGAAGAAAAAAAAAATGTTGTTTTTTCTTTTTCCTTTGTTGGAGTCCTTTTACACAAAGGCAGATGAATTAGATAAAGGATGGCATATATTGCAATTATATGAAAAATCACTATAATCGGTATAAAGGGAGGAAGAGAAATGTGTGCAACTGTACTGGTACTGACCTACCAGGTGTCTTTGGTAGGCATGTCTGGCCCATGTACTTAAAACACAGCAAAGGGAGGACAGGACAGTTGATGTTGTTTATAGGCATATATATCTATATCTATATCTATATCTATCTATCTATCTATCTATCTATCTATATATATATATATTGTAGTAGTAGGGACAGGCGAACGGAAGATCACAGGATGTGACGGAAAGAGAGACCCTTCCCCCCTCTCCCTGCTCCACGTTATCTATTAACCCCAAAAGCATGTGACCACACCTGCCCCAGTAGTTTTCCACTCCCGACTAACCCTTGAGACCCCACAACCCCCCTCTGACGTAGCAAAGACCCCCAAGACTATTTAAACCCATGAGATGAGATAATAAAGGCTTTCGATCGTCCACCACATTGGTGCCAGCGTCTTTGTCGATAGCCCGAGCGGTCTGGAGAGGCCAGACCGCCGTGCTGCCTCTTAGAACCAGGTCGCCCGTTGTCTTTTACAAAGGCAACATATTTTATATATATTTGGAAAAATAACACAGCTGAACTACACAGAATCACTGACTCACAGAATCACAGAATGGGTCAGGGTGGAAGGGACCGCAGTGGGTCATCTGGTGCAAACCCCCTGCTCAAGGGGATTGTCCTAGAGCACATTGGACAGAATTGTGTCCAAATTGCTCCTAAATATCCCCAGTGAGGGAGACTCTACAACCTCTTTGGGCAATTGGTCACTGCTCAGAAAAAAAAGTTCCTCCTCTTGTTCAGGTGGAACTTTTGTGTGTCAGTTTGTGCTCATTGCCTTTTGTCCTGTTTCTTGGCATCACTGAGCAGAGCCTGGATCCATCCACTGATGCCTTTTCTTTAGATACTTGCAGATACTGATGAGAATCACAGAATTGTTAGGTTTGGAAGAGACCTCTGTAGACCATCTAGTCCAACCCACTTGCCAAGGCAAAGTCACCTAAGGCAGGTTACACCAGAATGCATCAAGGAGGTTTTTGTGTGTCTCAAGAGAAGGAGACTCCACGGTCTCCCTGGGTAGCCTGTTCCAGTGCTCTGCTACCCTCAGTGTAAGGAAGTTTTTCCTCATGTTGAGGTAGAACTTCTTGTGCCTTAGTTTTTGACTGTTGCTCCTCATCCAGCATCAATGCTGGATCACTTCACTGAAAGAAATCTGGCACCATCCTCCTGACCCCTGCCTTTGAGATTTTTTGTGTATTGATGAGATCCCCTCTCAGTCTTCTCCAGACCAAACAGTCCCAGCTCCCAGAGTCTCTCCTCATAAGAGAGAAGCTCCAGACCCCTGACCATCCTTGTGGCTCTCCACTGGACCCTCTCCAGTAGCTCCTTGTCTCTCTCGTGCTGGGGAGCCCAGAACTGGACACAGCACTCCAGCTGTGGCCTCACCAGGGCTCAGTAGAGGGGGAGGATCACCTCCCTCGACCTGCTGGCCACACTCTTCCCAGTGCACCCCAGGATGACATTGGCCCTCCTGGCCACGGGGGCACTGATGGCTTATGGACAGCTTGTGATCCACCAGGAGTCCCAGGTCCTTTTCCACAGAGCTGCTCTGTAGGAGGTCAGCCCCAGCCTGTGCTGCCACTTGGGGCTGTTCCTGCCCAGGTGCAAGACCTGGCACTTCCCCTTGTTGAGCCTCATCAGGTTTCTCTCTGCCCAACCCTCCAGCTGATCAAGGTCTCACTGAATGGCAGCAGAGCTTTCAGGTGGATCAGCCACTGCCCCCAGTTTGGTGTCACCAGCAAACCTGCTGAGGGTGCATTTGATCCCTTCCTCCAGGTCACTGATAAACAAATTCAATGAGA